CTGCATTGGCGCTCCGCGCCAATGCAGTCTTGCTCTGAACGCTTTTTTTCAGGCAAAGCAATCCATCACCGGTTGCTTCAGCACCGCTCCTCATGGGAGGAGGTAAAGAGAAAAATGTTGTTTGGCGTTTCATCTGCCACCTCTAAGGTATATCCCTACCCTTCCCTTCCTCCTCCTTTCCTCCTCTTCCGCCTCCTCCGGTGGTTGAGTCCATCCTTGGAGGAAGTAAGGAGCGTTCCCATGACACGCCGAAGAAGTCGCAGTAGCTCCGAACACTCGTTTTTGAGTCGCTTCCTGAATACCTGGAGAGCTCCAGGCACTCAGGAAATCTTCGATCGTCGAACTTCGAATATCGATCCATTGCCTGTATCACTCGATCGAGGAATTTAAACCTCGAGCCTTAAGCGTGGAACCAAGATCGTCGGGTCAGCTCGATGTACTTCGTAGGACAAAACCGCCTGTGCGTTTTTGGGGCTCTTTTGGGCCGTCCTGGAGCCCTCTTGGGCCGTCCTGGGGCTTCTTTGGGCAGTTTCGGAGAGCTGTTTCCCATGGCTTTCGTGGGTCTCTGTTGGGAGCCGTCTGGGGGCATCTTGGGTTTCTTGTGGGCAATATCGGGGCTCTCTGGGGCAGTCTTGGGGCCCGCTTGAGCCGTCTTCGAACCCTCTGGGGGGCCTCTTGGGCCCTCTTGGGGCGACGTCGGGGGCCCATCGGGCCGTCTTGAACACTGCGAAGACCCAAAAAACGGGCATGCTAAAAATATAATTATTCTTCTGGGAATGGGCGATGTTTGCTTTTTCGGGGCTGTCTTGACGGCCTCTTGGGACGTTTTGGGTGGCTTTCGGGCCGTCTTCAGACCATCGAGGTTCCTCATGGAGCGCTCTTGTGCTGTCTTGAGTCTCTCTTGCGCCTCTCCGATGATCCCGCTGATCGCCTTGAGTCTGCTCGCAAGGCCCGGCAAGGCGCCCTGGGAGTCCCGGAAGGGCCCGTGGATCTTTTCCAAGGGCGTCCAGGGGGTCCGAAAGGACGCCCATGGCGTCCTTGGGAGGAGGTCCGGCTTAGGGGGGGTGGGGGGTCTGGGAGGTAAAAATGTAAGACTAGGAATATACATATTTGTACATATATATATAGATACAGACATATAACTACATGGAACACATATCTGTTGTAAGATGTATATACATATATGACAGGTACATGTATACAAACATACATACATATAAACATATATATATATATATATATATACAAATGTATATATAGCGGTTTACATAAATAAATATGGAGAGAGATGTGTGTGTGCATGCGTCACGATATCTCTCTCTCTCTCTCTTTATCTGTTGTTCTCTCGCTATCTCTCTGTCTTTCTCTCCCTCTCTCTCTCTCTCTTTTTTTCTCTCTCTCTCTCTCTCTCTCTGTCTCTCTCCCTCTCTCTCTTTATATATATATATATGTATTCTCTCTCTCTTTCTCTTTCTCTCTCTCTCTGTCTCTCTCTCTCTATATGTGTCAATCTATTTATATATATACAAGCATACATACATACGTACATCCATACCTCTCTATGTCGCTATTGGTTGCCACCTTTCGTACGTGTACATCAGGGTTGTTCTAGCTATGTGCAATATATGTATATATGTGTGTAGATTCATAAACATATGCATTTGCATGGCGATGCATATGTTTCTTATGTATAGACATCCACAGGTCTATTTCCATACGTACACATACACATACTCACATACACATACTCTCATACGCATGCGCATACACATACATCTACACATACATACGCATACAGATATACATACACACACATATGTCGTCGCTTTCTCGCTCTCTCTCTCTCGAGGCCCCGTTGGGCTGTCTTGGTGCCGTCCTCTTGGAGTGTCTTGGGGCCGTCTTGGGCCCCTCTTGGGCCGTCCTGCGCTCGCCTTGGGGCCCTATTGGGCGCTTTTTGGTCCATTTGGGGCGATCTCGGGGGTCGGCCGTCTCGAGCGCTCTGGAGACCGAGAAGCCGAGTATGCGAAAATTGTTCCGGAACCTTTTGAAAACTTATGATTTGTGCCCTCTGGGGGCCTTTTGGGAGTCGTCTTCGGGCCCCCCAGGCCCACCTTGGGCCCGTCTTGGGCCATCTTGGGCCCATCGTGCATCGTGGCCGTCTTGGGGCGATCATCGGGCCATCCGGGACCGTACTGGGCCATCTTGGGGCGCTCGCGATTCAGGCCCCCCGGACGCACCCGGAGTTGTATCAGTTTAGTTTTGCATGACTAAGGGAACCGATTGAATTAGTACAGCTGTGTATATATATATACATATATACATATATACATATATATATATATCAGAGTGAGGGGCCGAACGGTCATTCATTGTCCCTGGGTGCGTGGCTAAAGTGGGGATCTGTGGTGAGGATTATGTTGGTTGCGCTGTTGTTGATATTGTTGTGGCTGTTGTTGCTGGTGTTGCTGTTACCGTTGTTGCTGCTGTTGTTGCTGTTGTTGGTGTTGTTGTTGATGCTGTTGTTGTTGGTGTTGTTGTTGCTGCTGCTGTTGTTGCTGGTGGTGTTGTTGGTGTTGGTGTTGTTGGTGTTGTTGTTGTTTGTTGTCGTCGCCCCCCCCCGCGACCCGCCCGCGACCCACCACGTCACCCACCCCGCGACCCACCCCGCGACTCAACCCACGACCCACCCGCGACCCACCCCGCGACCCACCAGCGACCCACCCATGACCCACCCGCGACCCACCCCGCGACCCACCCGCGACCCACCCCGCGACCCATCCGCGACACACCCCGCGACCCATCCGCGACCAACCCGCGACGGACCCGCGACCCGTTTGCGACCCACCCGCGACCGACCTACATTAGTTTCACGAAAAAATCGGCGTTTGCGGCGGGTTCGCCGTATACTTTGTGAAACTTGGGCGCCTGCGGCGGGCTTCTCCAGAGTCTCGCAAACTGCCGACGTCCACACAGCCCCCTCACTCTTATCCGCATCTGCGGGGGTGCTACGTATAGATAAATACACACATACATACATACATACATACATACATACATACATACATACATACACACACATACATACATACATACATACATACATACATACAGACAGACAGACAGACAGACAGACAGACAGACAGACAGACAGACAGACAGACATACATACATATGTATATATATATATATATATATATATATATCAGGGCGACGAGGCCCAGGGGCCAGAAACCCGGGCCCCGACCCCTTCGAGGTCTATTGAGCCGTCCTAACCGTGCGATGGCGTTCAATGGGGATCATGGGACAACCTCAACCGAACAAGAATCTGAGGGGCACGCGCACGCACACGGTGGTGTTTGCTTGACGGCCCGGACCCCCAATTAGAGACAGTAGATCTACCAGCGTTGACCCCTTATAGAGCAAAACAATCAAGTTGGTTGAAAGGGGTCAATTGGTTTCCATTGGATTCTATCGAACTCCATTGGGTTCCATTGGTCTCCCGTGGACTTCACTTGAACACCCATACGATCCCACTCCATGGACACCACAGGACTCCACTGGATTCCCCACTGGAGCCCCACGACTATCTTGGTAAGACTCAACCCGACTCCATTGGTCTAGTCAGTTCCATTGAACTCTATCGGCCTCAAGAGAATTCCAGTGAACTGCATTGGAGTATTCCTTTGACTACTGGGCGCCGTGGACTCCATCCGACTACATACGCCGCCACTGGGCACCCCATAAGACTCCACTGGACCACCTAGGACTGTATTGGGTCCCATTCCATTGATCTCCATTGGACTCAACTTGACTCAATCCCAATACCCGTACAACTCCATTAAACTTCATTGGAATGTGTTTGCAGGCTTCATCGCCATTCCCGAGGAACCCACTGCCACACCCACGGAATCTTTTGCCATACCCAAGAAACCCATTGTCGTACCCAAGGAGTCCAATGCCATACTCCAGAATTACATTGCCATGCCTTAGGATTACACTGCCATATCTCAGGAATTATTTTGCATTCCCCAGGGGCCCATTGGCATTCCCATGATCGTGAAAGGACAAAGAAGAGGAGAGGTTCGCCATGCACAGGTTCTAGGTAGCGAATTAGAACTCCAAGGCAAGCCTATTTGGCTAAAAATGAGGACAGGACTGGAGAGACAGAGATCAAAGGCAACACAAGGAAAAAAACGGCCATCCTCCAGATGGGATAAGGGGAAGGGGCCACGGCGACAACAACAAGACGACGACCACCAGACCCCTGCACCAAAGCACCACACCAAATCGGGGAGGGGGCGGGCACCTGGAGGAGGGGCCCGAATCAGTTAGCATGGAGGAAGGCTTGGACCCTTTATCATGTATGCTTACGCGCTTGCCTCTTACATTCTTCTCTCAGTCCATGTGTTTTCTCTGTCTGTATGCTTCTCTCTCTCTCTCTCTCTATATATATATATATCCCTCTTTCGCTCTGTCTCTCTCGCGCTCTCTCCCTGTCTCTCTCTCTCTCTCTCTCGCTCTTCCTTTCTTGCACACAACGTCAATGTTTCTCATCCTGCCTCCTCTCCCTTCCTCTCCTGGGGAGGCGCTCCTGGGGATTCGTTGGATCGTATTGGCTCCATTGAGACCCCCTCTTGATGTTTGCCAGGGCATCGTTAGGGCCATCGCACGTGGCTCGCCACCAACACACGTGTGTCGTGGGAGGAAGTGGTGGAGGAGAAGGAGGAGGGGGGGCAAGTTGTTGAGCAGAAGGAGACGTTGGACACCGTGGACCCACAATGCAACAGCCAGGGTCGTGGAGCCAGCGAGCGGAAAGCGAAAGCACTGTCCAAGACGTGACCCCACGCCACAGATAGGCGCTGACGGGGAATACTACAGGCCCATCGTTATCCTTCGCCCACCTCTCCTCCTGCTCAACCCCCTCCACTTCTCCATGTTGGTGCCTCGGTTTCGCACGTCTCGCCGCGCCCCGCGCTTGCCGATGACGCCTGCTTCATCAGGATCATGACCCAGCCAGTGGCAGAGAACACTGCCACGCAGCGCCGCCTCATGGCTGGCTACCTCGTCCACCACGAGGACGGCTGAGCTGCCAGAGGGGAGTAAACGATTCCTGGGTAGGAAGACGAGCACGAGGTTTCGATACGAACTCGCACGGCCATGGGGGCAGAGCCGAGCTGCCGTTCCGGCACAGCGAATCTAAATCGTCCTCCAGGCAGAACCAAGCGTGGACGATTATCTGCTGCTGTTGCTCTGGCACTGCGTCATCATATCAAGTCGATGGCGTCTTGAACCTGAGACCGTACATTGTGAAGGCCTTACGGCTGGTGCCGCCGACCAGAAGGACGACGGCGACCACCACGACGCCGACAACGACAACGACGAGCTGATGACCCTGCCACAAGCTCGGGACATGGGGCGGGTGGTGGAGGGAAGAGGAGGAGGAGGAGGAGGAGGAGGAGGAGGAGGAGGAGGAGGAGGAGGAGGACGGAGGAGGAGGAGGAGGAGGAGGAGGAGGAGGAGGGGGAGGAGGAGGAGGAGGAGGAGGAGGAGGAGGAGGAGGAGGAGGAGAAGAAGAAGAAGAAGAGCCGTGGGTCTCCTCGGGGGCGGGCGTCTGGGAGGCGACGGGGCTGGGGCCAGGGGTCCCGGGGCCCCAGGGCCAGGGCCGGGGCCGCGGTCGGGGCCTGTGCCTGGGCCAGGGCCGGAGCCAGGGCCGAGGCTAGGGCTGGGGGGCCGGGGCCTGGGCTGGGGCTGGGGGGCCAGGGTTGGGGCTGGGGCCAGGGCCAGGGCCAGGACTGCGTGCTCATATCGAGTCGATGGCGCCTTGAATCTGAGACTGTGTACCGGGTTATTACGGATTCCGCAATCAGAGCTTGCCTGTGTAGGGGTCCTAGCGGATTCATATGGTTAGGTGAGGTGTGGCGCCGATTTCGGCGGCACGCCCGGGTGTCCTGGTGCCCGGGTGTCCGGGTGCCCGGGTGCATGGGTGCCTGGGTGCTTGGGTGTTCTGGTGCTTTGGTGCCCAGGTGCCCGGGTGCCCGGGTGCTGGATGCCCAGGTGCCCGGGTGCCTTATAGCCCTATAGCCCTATAGCCCTATGGCCTTATAGTCCTATAGCCCTATAGCCCTATAGCCTTATAGCCCTATAGCCCTACAACCCTATAGTCCAATAGCCCTGTTGCCCTATAGCCCTACAGCCCAATAGCCCTATAACCCTACAGCTCTATATATATATATATATATATATATATATATAAACATGTATAGAAGTGGCACGTGTGTGCCTTGGCTCATACAAAAAAAAACTGAAAGGGCGTTTGATGCAGGAAAACACCATGACTGCAGGATCGAAGATGAAGAAAGAAGAATCTAAGATCGAGGTCGCACTCGAGCGCAACTGGGGTTGCCACACCTTGCGATGTGTGTACAAGGGCCCCTCAGGAAACCTCAGGAGGCCCGACTTGGATACCAGAAGAGGCTCCAGGAGGCCCCGGGATTGGAGTGTTGTGTGTGTGTGATGTGTGCTCTGTGTTGTGCGTGTTTTCTGTGCGTTGTAGGTGTTGCGTGTGTGTGTGTGTGTTATGTTTGTCTAGCGTGCGATGTGTTGGGTGTGATTTGTGTCTCTGTGTGTGCATGTAGCTCTGAGGCCCCAGGCGGCCTCAGGAGACCCCAGAAGACCCCAGGAGGCTCCAGGAGGCCCCAAGAGGCTCCAGGAGGCCGCAGGAGGCCCCAGGAGGTTCCAGGAGACCCCCAGGAGGCTCCGAGGCGGGTCTGGGGTACCAGAAGGTACAGAAAGCCCCAGGAGGCCCCAGGAGGTTCCAGGAGGCTCCCAAGAGGCTCCGAGGCGGGGTCTGGGGTACCAGAAGGTACGTGGGGCTCGATGTTGGGAGGATGTCTCAGGCGAAATCGCCATTCTCTGAGAATCGGGGTCAAAATCATTGAAATTACAATGTGCTTTTCAAGGCTTGTTGTTAGAATGTTGAAATTCCCATGTGTTTTGGGGCCCTGACGTCACGATCTGCGTGAGGGGTGCCACCGATTTTCAGAAGTTCGAGGATGTCCCTAGCGAAACGGCCAGAAAAATCGCGAACGCGGCGCCCCGCGTACGCATTAATCGCCTCTGAGCTTATTCCCTCGGAGAGGTGCGTATGAGAATATATGTATGCCTATAGAACTATGTCCCTCCCCATAGCCCTATAGACCTATAGCCCTATGGCTCTATAGCCCTATAACCACATTGCCCCAGAGCCCCATAACCCCATAGTCCTACAGCCCTACAGTCCTGATTATGGCCCTATAGCGCTATAGCCCTATAGCCCTATAGACCTATAGCCCTATGGCCCTCTAGCCCTACAGCCCCATAGCCCTATAGCCCTACAAAGACTATGATTGGGGCTGTTGTCCAGAATCATTGGATACCGTATCGCGTGAGAAGTGGCAAGCCTCAGGTTGGGCACGGTGGTTGGGCACTGGGATCCGGCAAGGTCGTGACAGGCTCGGGTAAAAGCCGCGCCAGAACGCACCGCAATTTACGCCAGAGGCAGGTTCAGATTGGCAGTGGCATGTCAGTAGCGGGGGTGGCGTCGGAGGCGCCGCCAGGGGTGTTGTCTGGGGTGTCTCATCATCCCAGAAGAGAGTCGATTTCTCGACGCCTTCTGCGCGACGAGGTTGACAGACCAGGGAGGCCCAGCAGGCGGCCTCATGGTGCCGAGAGCAACACAGGGTGCGGAGGGGTTTGCACGAGCGCGGCGCATGCATACTCGACAATGCCAGGCATCCCTAAGGCAAAACCAGTCGTGCAGGAGAGGGGTGTAGGAAGCAGGAGGAGGAGGAAGAGGAGGAGGAGGAGGAGCAGGAGGAGGAGGAGGAGGAGAGATCGACACCCCGCGGGTGTAGTGGGGTTGCACTGCAACGTCTCCCTCAAGCCCTGCGGATGACGATGCCGTTGCACTCTCGCCTGCACTGCCCGCCCTGAGTTCGGTCGCGGCCGCACTCCCCACCTAGAGAGTAGACGCAGACGACCGCGACTGGAATAACTCTCTGGACTTCCGCCATTTTCGGGGGGTGGTCCTGGCAAGACAAGGCAGAGGCAACATAGGTGGGATTTTGATCTAAAGCCGTCGCCCCATCTTCTGCCAGCTCTTATTCCCTCGACGAGGGCTGGGGTTCAGAGGCAGCCGCTGCTTTAGCAGCAGCATCTGCAAGATACTTTCCGATTGACAACCTACGCTCACGAGACGCAAGCACCAGTCGGAGGAGGAACAGGAGATGGAGAAGGAGGAGGAGGAGGAGGAGGACAGGCAGAGGAGGGGGAGGAGGAGGAGGAGGAGGAGGAGGAGGAGGAAGAGGAGGAGGAGAAAGAAGAAGAAGAAGAAGAAGAAGAAGAAGAAGAATCAGAAGAAGAATGGGGGAGGGGTGGGGAGGGGAAGGATGAGGGTAAAAAGGAGGAGGAGAAGGAGGAGGGAACAAAGGGAAGGACAAGAACGAGGCGGGCACGCAGCGCACAAACCCCCGCTTCTCCTCTGGCAGCAGCGCCCCAACGGAGAGGGTCGCCACCCGCCGCGCTGCGGCAGCCGCGCATGTCGGCGGCCCCGAGGACGCGTCCCTCGCCTCCGTGCTCTACTGCGAGCTGCGCGCGCACTGCCAGGAGACCGCCAGGCTTCCCCGGTGTCCAGGGGAGGGGGGGAGGGCGGGGCCCAGACCCCCTCGCATCGTGAAAAATCACGACAGGAGGTTTTGCGTTATCTTCTGCCTCTGGGGGCGCTTCACAGGCCTCGGGACCGTCAAAAATCGATGCAGGATGAAAAGCCGGTCCCAGGGAAGCGGTCCAGACCTCTGGGGGTCGACGTTATGAAAAAACGCGTTGTCGGTGGGGGGCGGGGAGGAGCACAGTGCTTCCCACCTCCCTCTCAACCTCCCTCCCCCCCCTCTCCTCCTCTGCCCCCCTCCTCCCTCATCCTCCTCCAGCTGCAGGCGTCGCACAGCCAGCCACGCCTCTGACCCCGCTCTGTGCCCATTTCCCAGAGGGGTGACAATATGCTCAGCCTGCCCGCACCTTCGAAGCGATCGTTACTGTGTAACGATGCTGCGAGGGCTGGTGGCCGGCCGCGAGGCCTGGCCAATTGGCGCGAGTCGGGCACTGACAGAGCTCCGTCTGATTGACGCCTAACACCGGCGTGTTCGTGCGGCGCACGTGGTGACCAGACTTCCGCAGAAGGAGGGGGAGGTCGAAGAGGAGGAGGGGGAGGAGGAAGAAGCGGATCAGAAGGATGAGGAGGAGGCGAAAGAAGAGGACGAGAAGGAGGCTTTGGCACGACTCCCCCCCCATCTGGGCCGCCAGCTTGGTCTTCTACGAGAACGAGCTCTGCAAGGCCCGCGGGGGGAAAGCGGATGGGGGGAAGATTCGCGCTCATCCTTTTTTTCTGTATCTTTCTCTTTCCTCTCTCTCTGTCTCTCTCTCTCTCTCTCTCTTTCTCTCTCTCTCTCTCTCTCCTCTCGCTCTTTCTTATACCGTTGCACCCCGCAGATGCGGATAAGAGTGAGGGGGCGGTGGGGACGTCGGCAGTCTGCGAGACTCTGGACAAACCCGTCGCAGGCGCCAAAGTTCACAAATCCTACAACGAGCCCGCCGCAGGCGCCGATTTTTTCTTCAAACCAATGTGGATCGGTCGCGGGTGGGTCGCGGGGTGCGTCGCGGCTGGGTCGCAAGTAGGTCGCGGGTGGGTCGCGGGTGGGTCGGGGATGGGTCGCGGGGTGGGTCGCGGGTGGGTCGCGCGTTGGGTCGCGGGGGGGTCGCGGGGGGGTCGCGGGGGGGTCGCGGGATGGGTCGGGGGTGAGTCGCGGGTTGGGTCGCGGGTGGGTCGCGGGTGGGTCGCGGGGTGGGTCGCAGGGTGGGTCGCGGGGTGGGTCGCGGGGTGGGTCGCGTGGTGGGTCGCGGGGTGGGTCGCGGGGTGGGTCGCGGGTGGGTCGCGGGGGGGACGACGACAACAAACAACAACAACAACAACAACAACAACAACAACAACAACAACAACAACAACAGCAGTAGCAGCAGCAACAACAACGCAACAAGCAGAATCCTCACCACGGATTCTCACTTCAGCCACGCACCCAGGGACAATGAATGACCGTTCGGCCCCCTCACTATGATCTTTCTCTCTCTCTTGCTTTCTTTCTCTCCTTCTCTCTCTCTCTCTCTCTCTCTCCCTCTCTCTCTCTCTCTCTCTCCCTTTCCCTGTCTCCATATCTCCTCCGCACCTCTCCCTTCCGCTGCTCTCCTCTCATGTTTCGCGCTCTCTCTCTCTCTCTCTCTCTCTCTTTCTCTCGTTCTCTGTCTCCGTCCTTTCCCTTGTAACTATGCTCCCTGGCCGCACCACAAGACGTGTTGGCAGGGCGACCAGGGCGGGGCGTTCCGCTCAAGGTTTCAACACCACCAATGGTCTCGAATATTGGAATGTCCAGCAGCTACATGGGTGCATGACGGTACCTTTCCCAAATGGGCTTCTCGCTCGAACGCCGCGCAGAATTGTTTTTGAACAGCAGCTACAAGGATAGGGACAGCACCTTTTCAGAATAGGGCTCCGCCCTCAGCGCCGCGCACGTGCGTCTTCGAAACTTGCAAGAGCTACAACCATGGAGGCGGCACCTTTTTCAAACGGGGGCTCTCGCCTTAGCGAGACGCACATAGGTCTCAAACGCCTTCAACGATTACAAGGATGGAGAGCTGTACCCTTTTTTCAGAAGGGGTCGACTCTCGCTTGAGGTCTATCTTGAACCAACGACTAGAAGTCGAATGTCAAGTGACATCTGGACGGATGGCGGGCGGTCCTTGTCAACATGGGGTTGCCGCTTGAAACTCCATCTGGTACGTCAACCATAAGTGTACAGTTGTGCAGCAGGTACACGGATGGGGGTGGTCCCTTTGCAAGCCATGGTTCTCGTTGGACAGTTCGTTGAACCCGATGGTGTTACATCTTCACGTTCTTTGGGATTCGCTAGAAGGGTGCTAGGCAGTTCTTTTTTATAACAGAGCTCTCGCACGAACGCAGGCCAGTAAAGTGTTCATCTTTCAAGGAGGTGATCCCTATAGTGAAAGGGAAGGCACGCAGGGACTTCTGATAAGGAAACGTTAGACGGGAGGATGGATTGCGACATCGCTGACACATGCTCGTTTATTCTGCTCGTTCGCCTCGGCCTCCTCATCCTCCCTTCTCCTCCTCGTCCTCTTGCTCCTCCTCCTCCTCCTCATTTTCCCCCTTCTCCTCCTCGACTTCATCCTCCTCTTCCTCCTCCTCCTCCTCATCATCATCATCATTCTTTTCATCATCATCATCATCATCATCATCATCATCATCATCATCATCATCATCATCATCCTCTTCCTTCTCAAGCTCCGCACCGCTCAGGCCCCCCCTCTCATCGGAATATCCCCCGAGGAGCTTGCGCCGCAATGGGGGCAGCCGCGGCCGCGGGTGGGCCGTGAGGCCCAGTGTGCCCCCCCCCACGGTTAAGGGGCAGGCGGGCGCGCTTTGCATCGGTTTGGTGCTGTGCGCGGCGTTGGCGTTTTTTGCTGAAGCCACGTGGAGCTTCGTGGGACTATGGAACCCACGTCCGCTGACGACCAAGCTCAGAGTGGATAAGGTCTGGTCTGCCCAACGGAGCGTCGGGATTGTGGGGCTGTCTGGCACATGCGCCAGGGCGTGGGCGAACGAGGCGCACCACGCTGGTCGGAGCGCCTACTATCACAGTGTTCACTTCGGCTGGCAACGGTGGGGGAAGTTACCAAAGTCCTGCGGCTGTTCTGTCACGTTGAGCAAGACGTCCTTCGCGGCCAAGGACATCAGACGCATTCTGCCAGCCCCTGTGGGCCTATGCGGACGAGGTGCAGTGGTTTACGTGGCGTCGTGCCGCCTCGCGTTGGCCACCATAGCATTGTATTTCCCACCGAGGCCGGCGGAGGATGCTCTTGGGCCGCTCTTGGGCGTTTTGGGGGCCGTCTGGGGGGGCAACTTGGGCCACTCTTGGGTCTCTTTTGGGCCATCTTGGGGCCATCTTAAAGCCCCAAAGGCGCATCGAAAGCGAAAAGGCGAGAAGTCAAAGCTCATTAATATTCTTTAGATGTTTTTCTAAGGGTGTTGGTTTCTTGGGGGGTCCTGAGGGAGCCTCAAGAGCACTTGGAGCCGTCCTCTTTTCCTCGTCGGGCCTCGTGGAGATATGCTGAAAGCGATCGCGAACAATCGTCGGTTTTGGGGCTCTTCTGGGGGCCTATTTGGAGCCCTGGAGGCCTCTGGGGGCTATCCTGGAGGGCGTTGGTGAAAAGAGAGGGGGTCATAACGTTTAAAAGAGCGTGTTCTGCCGCTGCTGGCAGAAAACCGGGGGGGGGCACTGGGGGGGTCCAATTTGTCCCCCCCTCTTCCAGAAAACTGGGGGTCACTACGGGTTCGAATCCACCCCCCCCAGTCCATCATGAAAAGGGGGGGGTCATTACCGGTTCGAACCCCCTCCCGTCTTCGCCGTCGGCAAACGACTCCTCCTCTCCCCCACTTCGGATGGGAGACTGTGGCGGGGACAGTGGTTTGGACGGTGGTGGGGAGTGGGGACAGGGGGACAGTGGTGGGGACAGTGGGGAGAGTGGGACCGTGGTGGGGACAGTGGTGGGGACAGTGCGGACAGTGCGACAGTGGTGGGGGCACTGGTGGGGACAGAGGGGACGGTGGTGGGAACAGCGAGGATAGTGGGACAGTGGTTGGGACAGTGGGGACAGTGGGCCCGTGGTGGGGACGGTGGTGGTGGGGACAGTGGCGAGGGGACAGAGGGACAGTGGTGAGGGCGGTGGTGGGGACGGTGGTGGGACAATAGGACAGTGGTACAGCGGGGAGAGTGGTGGCGACAGTGGTGGGGACAATGGGGACAGTGGGACAGCACGGTGGGACAGCGGTGGGGACAGGCGAGCACGACCGATCGCAACCACTTCGGACCGATCGTCGACCACTTCGGATCGATCGCAACCAGTTGCGATCGGTCCGAAGTGGTTGCGATGTTTCTGGGTCGTTTCAATAACATGCCGAATTAAGGAAAAGATGATAAGAGCGCTTCTGGATGCAATGAGATCCCTTAAGCCGCCCAATACTAAGTTGAAAAAGTGGTTGCGATCGGTCCGAACACCGACGGCCGATCATGATCTCGGCTAAACACATGTATTTGAGCTCGAACATGGCCATGATCCGTATACGATTCCATGTGTTTCACATACGAATGAAACCGAAACTGAGCGAAAACGCCCAGAGTGAAACAAAGTGCATCTCAGGAGGAGGAGGAGGAGGAGGAGGAGGAGGAGGAGGAGGAAGGGAGGAGGAAGGGAGAAGGAGGAGGGGAGGGAAGAAGGGCAGGAGCAGGAGGAGCAGGAGCAGGAGAAGGAGGAGGAAGAGGAGGAGGAGGAGGAGGAGGAGAAGGGAGGGAGGAGGAAGGGAGAAGGAGGAGGGGAGGAAGGAAGGGCAGGAGCAGGAGGAGCAGGAGCAGGAGGAGAGGAGGAGGAGGAGGAAAAGGAGGAGGACAGGATGGCAAGGCGGGTAGACGCGGCGGCCCAGACCCCCAACGTCATGACTTTTCCAGAACGTCGACCCCCAGAGGTGTGGACGAATTCCCCTACGGTAGGTTCGTGCGGCGTCGGCACTCGCAAAGCTTTTGGCGCCGCGTCGATCGGCGGTTTGGGAGTAACTAGCAGGGCTCAGCCAAGGGAGTCGGCGGGCCCGGACACGACGAGGCGAGGCTGCATGTACCGCCTTTGTCACTCAGCGCTGCGCGCCGCGGTGGCGGCCAGCCGGAACGTGGCGCCTGTTGCGATCCGAGCTGGACTCGGATGGCCGGCAGAGTCGCGTCCAGCTAAGTCCTTGACATTTTTTCGGTGTGAAGAATCACGACAGGCGGTCTTCGCCCATGTTCGATAACCGGGGGGCCCTCGCCTGGCCCCGGGGCTGTCACACGACCCTAGCGCAGCACCCTAATAGCAGCACAGGAACTGTGGGACCTTTGGTTTCTGGGAGCTGTGAGACCTATGTGGCCTGCCAAACATGTGGGACCATGTGGCCTGCAAAACCTGTAGGACGATTTATGCGCGTGGTAATCTCGATCTGGTCTCGATCTTCCTGGGCCTGGAAGGGGGGAGGCTCGAGGCGCCAGAGCGTCCAAGATGGCCCAAGATGGCTCCAGGAAGGCCTCAGAGAGCCCACGATGGCCTCCACTATGGCCCAAAGTATTTCAAGATGGCCCAAGATAGCCTCCGACATACATCAAAGGGGCCAAGATAGGTAGCTTCCGACATACCTTCAAGAGGCTTCAAGGTCTCCGAAGGGTCCACGAGACGATTCTTGGG